ATAATTTCAATTGATATGGCAACGAAGGAACAGAAAGTTGTGGTAAGTTCCACAGTGAAGTGACTTCCATTCCCTTGGTCATTCCCTATCCAAACGTAAAACGTGTTTTTTTTTATTATGACACTGCTGTAAATTGCGAGCGGTACCGTATTTGCACGGCCACTTGCATTACTAAGGAGAGTAGGAATATATATTTCTTTGGTTTCGATTTCAGAATTCACTGGTGCGGTTTCCAGCAAGTCCTTTCATTCTGAGGTTCAGTGTGATTCGTAGTTTTGTATGAAAAATGATGAAGTGCTCGGTGCACAGTAATCTTACTGGATTTACCCTTAAACTCAAGTCCAACGAAAGTATAAGATGGATTTAATTCGATCTATAGCATCAAACAACCGTTTATTTTGATTGAAAACATGCAGGGGTGGGGGAGGCAAAAAAGGAGTCGCTTACATTATCAAACTTTTCTTCTGCAAGCTGCCGCTGTTGATAGAGTTTTCACGGTAAAATATTCTTCAAATATTAAGCAGAAGCAGGCCCTTCTTCACTGCCCTCATGTCTTCAGAATATGACGTCATCTGTCATCGCCGTCGAGCTCAAGGAGGCCTACTGTAATCGCTCCAGCCTGAAGCTGCCACATGATTTCTCTAATCGTTTAACTGGTGATCATTTGACTGGATAGCTTCCTAGAGAAAGTAGCTCTGAATATGCAAACCGCCTCCCAACCAAAGTTTCGAAGAACGTCCTAATGGTCTACGATCCGTCGAAGTCCCTCAATGAGCTCGACCCGTGCACCATGTTTCCGTGGGAAAGATCTTCTGATGACGTTGTAGAAGGCTATTATGAAGCATTTAATAGAATGGAGTGTTCTCTTCAATACTCACTTGGGCATTCGATTTGAATCCAGTAAAGTGTAATTATTCCGCCAGACAGATTCGGGAATGATTAGCTAACTGAACCGAAAGCGCGAGTGGCGTGGGCGCAACTTCTCATTGTAGACCGTGAAATGACCTTACAAGGAATGATCCTAGATCGCCATGGCCATTCAAGAAGAGATGTATTCTGCCTAGATGTGCCTTCGGGCGCTGACTTCAAACCTGGGATGAACGGAGCTATGAAGCAAAAGAGCATAACGATAGCGGTTGGAACTCAGAGTCAAGGTCGTATAACTTCGTATTCCTCACCGTCTTTGCTGCCTTGCTTTTTCTTCGGGAAATACAGGATAATGGGGTTTGAAAGTAAACCAGTCCACATTGCATCATCGAAAAAAGGAAACGGATAAAAACAACGACGGCGAACGCGATCCTTCGACTGTGAATCCCGACAACTACCACTGCGCTGTTTTACTTCATAGCTCCGGCTGGTCAATTGTTTAACAGATATGGAAGGTAGACTAGAGGTTCGCGTACGGAATCACATATAGGCATATACATCCCTTCTTCCTTCTTGAATGGCCATGGCGGTCTGGAATCCTTCCTTGCGAGATGCCGTGGAAACTCTTATGTTAGGGGCACATTTTCTATAGGCTTCTGTTTGTGGCTATTGAATCCTTTATCTGATTGCCTTCTGAACGCGCTGCTCAGCTTAAGGATTGGCTTAATTTGTGCCTTCAAGGCGATGTTGTAAAAGTTATTCCATTCGTAGGCGAGCGGCGCCGATTTCTACGCGTCTCCTCGTGTATCTCCGGACGGCAAGAAGATTGGTTTGGATGCAGTGGAATCACGTGAACATGGTAGGATTAGAAAGAATCCATCACTTCCGTTCAATGAGATCATTCTTGAGCTAGCGCCGTTTTTTACTGGAACTGAGACCAGGCAGGAAGAGTGTTCTTTTTCAGCCTTGGGACGAGACTTCTATTCATGTTGCTGTCCTACACGATGATGGTACTGCCACCAATGAAGTTGTTGTCAAGGACGGCACAGGACAAAAGGCAATGCGAATATCATTCTCCTATAAAAATATATCATTAATAAATCAATTTTAGATCAATTATTACTGTCCCAGTTGGGAGGATAATAATCTATTAATGGTGAATGATTCTACCAATTTTTGGAATGTCTACGAGGTGGACATTGGGCCAGAGTGTAAGTAGTCAAGTTGAGTTTTTGCTCTCAGAATCGCTGGCTTCATGCAGTTTTGAAAGCGTAGCATTTGAATTCAGTATAAGGCCGATGTCAGACTTTGCGAATCGCGCGATTCGCTAGCGTCCGCGGTCGCGTTGCGGTACCAGCCAATTGAGTGATTCACTGGCCGCGACGCGACCGCAGACGCTAGCGAATCGCGCGATTCGCAAAGTCTGACATCGGCCTAATATTTTTCCTATAGTTAAGGAGAGGAACGTGTTCCCTGTTGATCATGAAATTGGCTATCCGCTTTGGCAATTCGCCGACCGACCTTATGCCTCTAATGGATCCTGTATTGTGAGTCCAGAAATTATTCAAAGCTTAGACTCTACCAGTTTTCTATTCTCTTTTTCGAAATACTTCCCTTCATTTTAACCCATTCGCGACCGCGCGGGATTGCGCATAGCAGGAGAGTCAGGAGATTTTTCTTCAATAAAATTTGAGTGGATGGAGATTTCCTCTGCCCAGGGCTGGCGTAGATGAATGAGGGTATGAAGATTCTTTTCAGGAAAGAAAACTTTCCAAATTCCATTTGAAACACGGCAGCCACCGGTGGATACCATTGTCCCGAGTGAGATCTTTGTCAGCCACCGGTGGCTGCCATTGTCACGAATGGGTTAACATCACTTTTTGAGCGGGAATTCTTCATCAGATACACCGCTCCTCTTTTCGATTCGGCTATTATATATAGTGTTTTGCGACATGGAGGTTCTGATTAAAGAACCAAATCCTCCTCGAAATAATTGATTGTAATATGTTGGTGACGAAGAAGTATTAATACCAGAATGTATCAAATTTTTCAGTGATTGAAAAATTATAGAACAAATGGATGCTAACTTGTGACAGTTGTGTCGACACTCGATGTTAGCACACGATTATACACTTGTAAACCTATAATTGTACTGCAATCTACGACGTCGTAGATTCACCGCGGAGGAACCTACCGTGAAAGCCGCTGAAGAGCCAAATTTTTGAAGCACCTCATTGCTTAGGAACAAATGCTGAATCTAATGCTGGCAGAATGGATGTTGAAGGCACTGAACACATTGGTGGAGGCCTTTTAACACGTTGGAGACCGCGCATGTTTTACGTTTTGTGGCCGCGTGGCACTTCAGCGAAATTTTTAGGAATCTTATCAAGCAAATTGGAATGAAAAACCTAGTGCATGATGCAGAAGAAACCTTATCAAATGCGATGGGAAAATGAAAGAAAAACGTAATATTAGTTTCCGAAATGCCGTCCCAAGCGGTTGACGGTCTGCAGCCCACATATGGGCTGCATGGGCTCTAAGGTGTTAATGACGTCATTGAGCCATCATCACAAGACCTGCGCCATCCATCAGCAAGTTGGTGTAAGAACGTTGCAATACGATTCCAGCCCACCCACCAAATGTGCTGAAAGGTCTGGGCTACCAATGATGCTCAATGACATCATGAAAACCGCTCTGCCCTCCAACCATGTATTCATTTTCTTTACCTGTTCTTACACAGCCGCTTTCAAGGAGCACCCGGCAGCTCTCCTGTTCTTACAAGGGAGGTCGTTCAGGGTGTGCCAAGCTTTTTCAAAATGGTTTCTTGCATGATATGGGGCACATGCGGGAACCACAGAACCATGGTTCATTTTTCCTGAACGGCCCTCTGAATACCAGAAAAGGGGGTCCCTAGTTCGATTCCTCGTGGTGAAATTTTTGCATTTCGAGTTGACGTTTCAAAATTCGCGCAAAATGGAGTTAGCATGAATAATTAGTACCATATTCATGATTAGGACCGTCAGTAACCCTTACAAAAAGACTTTGATTAAAAACTGGTGAAAAAGGTGTGACACCAAAACGGCCCCACTGTGGTGTCACACCTTTTTCACCAGTTTTTAATCAAAGTCTATTTGTAAGGGTTACTGACGGTCCTAATCATGAATATGGTACTAATTATTCATGCTAACTCCATTTTGCGCGAATTTTGAAACGTCAACTCGAAATGCAAAAATTTGTCACCACGAGGAATCGAACTAGGGACCCCTTTTCTGGTATTCAGAGGGCCGTTCAGGAAAAATGAACCATGGTTCTGTGGTTCCCACATGTGCCCCTATATCATGCAAGAAACCGTTTTGAAAAAGCTTGGCACACCCTGAACGACCTCCCTTGTTAGTCTAGGCGATCCATCTTTTGCACTTACAATTAGCTTTTTGATATTTTCGTGCCTGAATTGTCCCTTGTATAAGATTGTAGGTGAAACTTTTTCTTACTTTTCAAGCTGTTGGGTTTTGGTGTAACTAAATCATATTTTAATGTCCAAAACTGAAAACAGTGGGCTCATCTTAGCTTGTTCGCAAATCTCGCTTCCAGATAATGAATGTCAACGGACGTCTAATGTTACGTCGTGAGTTAGCCGTAAGACACGTACCAACCCCTGGTTATACGGTTTTCTCACATCTAAGTATCACGCAAGCGGATGTGGTTTACACAATCGCGTCTGGACCAAAGAAGGCGTCATGCATCTTGCGCATCGACGTCTCTAAAGAGGTTTGTTTGTTTAGTGGGAGATCAACCCGAACTGAACCCAAACTGAACGACCTATAGATGATGGATCAAGAACCGGTCATTGATGTGATCCGAACTGCGCGCGAGGACAGCGATCTGGAAGCGCTCGACATCGAACCCGACCATCTGGAGTTCCAGTCGACGGCGTGGCGGTTTCAGCATGTTTTATAAGCCAAAGGTGATGTGAAAATCTCAAAAATGTTGATGGAAAACTTCACTCAAAGCAGCGATCTACTCGCAATTAGCATAAGCACTGGATTGTTTCAGAATCGTCATTTCACCGGTCCTGCGGCTATGCTACCACCAGTACTCCTTCTTGGCCATGGTGGTCCGACTGCTGCTGCTGCTAACTCACTAGACTTGAAGAAACAATTCTTTACTTCCCGAGGATTCGCTGTGCTAGACGTGAACTATCGTGGATCGACTGGATTCGGCACGAAGTTCAGAAACATGTAAGAGCTTCTTCAAATTTCATCCCCTCCCGCTTACTAACATTGCGCCTATCCGAAAACTTCAGATCATCATGATAAGGTGGAAAGTGCTTTCATTGATTGAAATTTTCTGGTGATTTGAATGGCATGGTTGCACATACACAGGTGTATGGGCCGCCTTACCGAAACGGAGACGAAGTGATTTACGGACCATTCGCAGCTGCGGCTAATTTTGTCGGAATAGAGATCAAATAGGCGGGAGTTTCTGGCCGGCTTCCATCCGAAGCACTCGTTTGTGGCGAACTACTTGAGCTCTACGAATACTCCCGCTTTTCTTTCATGTGCGTCTGTCTGGTCCATTGTAGGCCATTTGAAATACAGCACTATTCAAATTTAATGACTGGATAATCAGAAATCATCGATAACCTTGGGCTTATCGTTCTGAAGCACGATGACAATCATGAGTTCGACTTCTGCTGTGCCGCGGACGTACGCCTAGCATTTCTACAGTTTCCTTCATCTCTAAATATTCCTGACTTATGAAATGCTAAGTACGATGATTGCAGGCTGAAACATCAGTGGGGTGTGGTTGACCGCGACGACATGATTGCGGCAGCTCGTTCGGTGATAGCACGACGACTTGTTGATGGCGAAAAAGTGTGCATTCAAGGAAGTTCAGCGGGAGGGTGAGTAGAGTAAAAAGCTTCAATGTTTCTTTGTGTGCTTCACACTCGCTCTAGGATACATCTCTGACTCAACTCTAAACATCCTTTGAAAGGACTCATGAACAGGGTCAACCGTCCGTTCGAAGTGTTCGAACGGGGGGGGGGGTCGCATTTGTGTTCTGGGAGGGGAGGGGTTCGCATTGCGCGTGCGTGTGAAAAAAGTTGCCGTTTCACTGGTTGTATATACCCCCGCTCGACGGCTATTTTTGGGGAAAAAGTGGGTGGAGTTTCGGAGTTTTAGGTAGGTTTTGGGCTGTGTCAACTGGTCTCAGAATCAAATACTATAGAAGAGGGAGAGGTCGCGGTGGAGGAAGGCTGGTTGTATTGGGGGGTCGCAACTGTGTGTTGGGAGGGGTCGCAACTGGACCCTCTCGAGAGGGAGGGGGTCGCAAAAATCCCGAAAATGTTCGAACGTGACGGTTGACCCTGCTCAAGAAAGGCTTTTTATTGTTTGCGCTCGCGATGCAATTTCCCATTACATAATTGCGTTCGTTCGCACAAACCCACAATATTATTAGGAAGCCTAAATTGAAAATTAAATAAAATTTAATTGACAAAATATAGGCAAACACCAAGGGGTCATAGTAGGGCTATTCCTACTTGACTGCATCACAGTGTTCAAAGAACCGGGTGCTCAGCAAGTTTGTTCCCATCGATCGCCTGCACCGAAGGAGCTGAACGGTTGAGAGTCGCTCAAGGGGTGCGGGGATGTATCATGAAAGCCTAATGTACAACGCCAGACATAGACAAGAAAACATTGACCGTGACCAAGTGAAGTTAAACTCTAATGGACCGAGATGAATGTACCCCTCATCATTTGTCTTTATTTTCAATCTGTAAGCTAGCTTGATAAGGTGTGCTAGTGTTGACGTGGCGCGCGCTCACTGCTTGCGCATGGTTTGGGGAACAAACACCTGAGGTCCGTTATCCTATTCACTTTCCATTAGGCTACCTCAGAAACAAAACCCCTTTGAAATTTACTCGTCTTTCCAACAAAGGCCGCCCTGACGAACGGCATTTTTGTGATGTTTATGTGTAAAAGTAAACAAGTGCGGAAAGTAAGGGAACAGTGCCGTTGAAAACAAAAAAATTCAAAGGACTCTTTCTTTGTTTTTACCTGGGGAAGGATAGAATACCACCTCTAGGTCGCCGCCCAGGCGGGAGAAACGTGTTACGTTCTAGTGATAGGCTTGCAGCTACGTCAATTGAATTAGCGCTTCTTCTTTCAAAAGGTACTTCAAATGCGGTCCTATAGGAAACAGTAGTGAAAAATCTTGGAAAACCAACCAAATAATTCTTTTTTCTTGAAAAGTTTGAAACTGTTGTGATGTTTAATTCTTCAAAAAACATCCCCTTGTTCTCCTTTTTGTGCACATGCGTGATTTCAAAGTTCTAATGGTAATTACTTCCACCAGAATTAAATTCTTTTGGAACTAAACGCTAAAAGCAATCTACGACGTTAACACATTCAAAGTGTCAACTTCTCGAGCATTACTATAGAATTCCTGGTATAAAGGCAATAGCCTCGTTGTGAAGCTGTAACGATGACACTTCGAAAAAATCTCCGAAGTGAAAATCTGTTTTTGCTAGAATTTTCTAATAGATCTCTAAGAATTGGTCCGCTAAATTCATTGCACTTTTCCCCTATTTCTGCTTTGAAAGCATCAGGACTCCTCTGAAAAATGCGTTTCCTCGTGCTCACTGGAATGTGAAGCATTCCACTGCATCAACTTTTAGTCTGGGATACGCCATGCACTTTTTTTTCTAAGATCGCAGTGGAACTCAAAAGTCCTTCACTTGTTATCCTTTGCTTTGTCTTGTAATTTTTAACACTTTAGCGATCATGCAACCCGCATGTGAGCCACCTTGTAAGCCACGAGACTTTGCAGCCACATATGTGCTGCAATACTCTAAGCATGGGAATGGTTTACTATTTTTTTGCATCGTGTACTGAACAGCATGATGTGACCAGTACATCAAACTCCTGCAGATTTGAATGCATGACTTGTTCATCTTTTTGATGTGCTTCCTACTGAAAAATAAACCTGCGATAGTCACCATACCAAGAAATTCGCCATGAGAGATCGCGTAGCTCACATTTGGGCCGCGACTTCTGAGCGGCGCCGCGGTGTCTCGCGGCTTCAACTACCAAAACCTGTGTGGGCTCCAGCCTATTAAATTATGTCACTGGTTGCAGCACTTACGACCCGCACACCTTCCCGTCGGCAAAATACGCCCTCCCTTGGTGACCCTGCCGCAGGCTTCCAATTTATTGTTTTTGAACTGGCTCTGGTGAATAAAACTACTGGCTTGGACATTGGCCATATCGCATTCAAAATGCCACTGTAAAATGGAAGCAGCATACGTGGCGCACCCGAAAAAAGAACCGATAAACGCCGAGCGCTTCACTTTCCCATCCCTTGGATTAGTACATGCTTTAGCTAGCATGTTTGTATTGACCTTAGAACCGTATCCGAGAAGACTACAAAACAGCGAAAACAGCAATACCGATAGTTCTACTTTGCTTCATGCAACTATTGAAAAATATTGTTTTTCAGCTTAAAATAGATAGGTCGCAAAGTTTCCACTGCATTTCATGTCGCATAA